TATTTTATTATTATATGTTTAAGTTACCTATTTCTAAAAAAGGCCTCTGTATTTCACCCCTGATTCAGAACAAAATTATGTAAGATCAATACAATCACAACAGTTACTATTAATAGGTGTACGTTTTTGATTCGTACATAGATACACATACAACAGATCACTCGAAAAAAATACATCCTAATGCATGTGTTTGGGGGAAACATATTTCAGTGTATACCTTCTAAACGACTCAGAATTCTTTCGAAATCTACAGTACGGTATGCCGCACCCAGTTATGCGCTATAATAATTAATAATATATGTATAATGTATATATATATATATATTATTTACCTATTTCCAGGTAGTTGTAAGTATAGTATAGGTATGTATAGATGATTCTATATAGGTATGAGCTGTCGCATCTGGAGCCGGTGCATATGAAAACCAGTATTTTTTTGGATGTACCTATCTTAAAGGCACAAGAGTGCATAAAATTAAAAAAATAATAATACTTAAATCTTTCGAAATACCGGCTTGAGAGACTCACGATGCGTTGATAAGATGATCATTGCTGTTCATGGTCTTCGAGGTCTTTGTCTCGCATTTTTACATATTACTAGATGCCTTAAATATAAAACCCATTATATATAAAAGGAAAAACTGGTTCCTATTTAAAAGTAATATTATATGCTTCCAAGAAACTCACGTTAGGCTTAACCCGTGTGCCTATATGCAACTATACAAGCGCTTATAGTAGGTAGGTATTTTATATTATACATATTATAATACATGGTTGGGCTTGTAATATTAAAATTCCTTGTCAACAAAACGAATAGGTATTTAAAAAAATATATATATATGTATACCTAGGAAGTTTTTTTTAATTTTAAAATCTGTTTTGGAAATACTTGTTTTGGAAACGAATTAATGCTTTCACATCTTCACTTCACACTGTTTTTCCTGGAAACAAACAGAACAATTCTACCTACCTAATACTACATTATTTTTAAAAATATTTGTTCTTCGACAAATATTATACGTTCTATAAAATGTTTACAAAAATCTTTCAAAGTAAAATGTTTTAGAAATTACATGAAATCAAAATCATAGATATAGGTAGTACCTATATAGGTAATAGGTAGTATATAGATACCTACCTATTACACATTTTGAAAAAATCAATTGATCTGTAAGTCAATTGTTTGTGTAATAATACATCTTTAATTTGTCTCAAGTATAAAAATAATTATTGAATAACAGTAGGTATGAACAATGAGTCACCTTTAACAACAGACAACAGTATAATTTAATGAAGTAAATTTTTCTAGTTATATTTCAAAATGACCCAGTCGTTTGCAGTGAAGAGTATTTTACCGCATTCTATACAATTTTTGTTTTAACAAACAAACTGCAGAACACTTACTTGTGCCGTTGAAGTGGCCACTGAAGCTGTACTGAACCGATTTTGGACTAAAACCTTTTGAAAATCTTATGGCCGAAACTGATATTTTGATGTTTTTTCGTTTACAAATAATTCTAATAGGTTCTATCTATTTAATAAGATTATAATCTTAAACCGAGTTTTATAAAAATTAATAAATATAACTAATCACTATAATAAATTAACAGCAATAAAATAGTAGATCATCAATTATAAAGCATAAGTTATTTATCCTCTTGAGTTGTCTAGACATTTTGAACTAATTATAGGTAGGTAAATATCACAACACTCAGAATTCGCCATACAAAAGTATCACACAGTTGCTTAATGGCAAAAGACTCCAACGGACAATGGTGCTCATTATTTCATATCAACGTTAAATATAGTTTACCAAATTCCGTACATGTGCTCAGGAAAGCGAAAATTATAAACTTCAGGACCTAACCTGACCCTAAACACAAGTTGTGTTCTCAAAGTTAACGAAATAAACTTGTTACATTTGTCATCTCTGAATGAGAAATTGTTATAACTTCAAACTAAAACATAGGTAGGTAACTATACAGTTTAAGAAATTAGCTTAAAAACTAAATAATATAAAATACAGTTACATGCATTTTCGAACTTAATTAATTTAAGCTATATTTCGACCCGAAGGCCAGTTATAAAGGTCATATTAATTTATATTTCATAAAAACGCCATAATATTAAATATACAACCCTAATATGTCTACATATATTATATTGGGCAAATGTATAAGTTCCCACACGAGACATTGTATTTACAAATCCCCAATAAATAAGTTACCACAAAAAATAACTAAACTTTAAATTAGCTTTTTTCCTTTATTGAGATTTGAACATAGGTAAAAATTATTGTATCTCGACAATTAACGTAAGCGTACATTTAAATAGCTGGGTTTGTTATAATATTTTATATCTAAAATATATTGCTAAATGAAAATACATCATTCGATACTAAAACAAATGTCCTTCACATTTTATTTAAACTTTGGAAAAACTATTTAAATGTAGGCAGCTTGGGTAAAATGTGTAAGGAAGGTATATAAAAAACGTCTTTAATTCAATTTTCAACAATCAACGAGTACCTAGTGAATTAAAAAAAAAAAGGGTTACCTATACTATTTTGTATCAAAGGGTAGATAATTCCTAACGAATTGTCTAGAATGTTCACAGAAAGTAATGCATTAGATGTTATCGTATAGCCGTATAGGTGTAATTTTTTTGTGTAGGAACTTATGTATAGGTAACTAGGTACAGTGGATTTTTTCCCCTCTAGAAACTAGCATAATAATAAGCAACGGCTTACCGGCCATCGGGCCATGTGCTATGTCTTAAGTGGGTACCTACTTACCGAACCTTATTATTACCTAATACCCAACAACACCTATAATGAACATTTTATAATACAACCATTATAGGTATCGTCGACTTGGATTAAAATATAAATAGGTATCGAGTATCGACAAACGCGCTTACGAATTCCCAAAAACAGCTGCAGTAGTGCTCTCCGTCTTCCATAGAAATAACTAAGTTATCAGACATAACGTTTCATATTATTACAAAAATTGGCTCTCTTTTTTGAGTTCAGTTTTATTTATTTATATTGCCCTATTAATTACGTTACAAGTATGGAATAGGAAATCTGTAAATTTGCGTCATAGATAATATAATAATACCAACATTATAACTATCACTTACGTACCAGAAGTGCTCGTGATAGAGGGAACACAAGGAACAACATTTTTCAATTTTCTTATATTTTGACCCCTATTACCTAGTTATTTTTATTGGATCAGTACGCGTTGTTTTTATAGACAAAATATTATTTTTAATATCAAGTTTTGTAATTTTTATTTCGCAAAATTGTGTTCATGAATTAAGACTTCACGTATTCTATACAATTACATGTACCTATGGTAGTTATATAGTTCAATTGTTATTAAAAATAATTAAATTTAATAGGCACATATAAAAATAAAAATTATTTTTTATGTCAATACATTTCTATTGTTCAAAAATGATTTATTTTAATCACTCTCGAGTAGTCGTTACTGGCTTACTTATAATATGGGCGTCCTCCCGGCCTCCCCCCAACCACTACTAAGTTAAGCCGAGTTCGAGTATTATAATGGAGGTTAATTTTTTTCAAGTGTTAAAAATCTCCCTTCTTTTACTTATCAGCTAATTCGAGCACTGCCTAAATGTATGAATTATTCAAATTACTAATATAGCAATTAACCAACTACTGCAACTGCATTGGACGCGCAATAACAATGCGAATACAATCTCAGTAGGTATACCGTATAGCCGTATAGGTAATAACTAATAAATAAAAATTGATGCGACTTTTGAAGATCGAAGAATAGAAGTATAGATTAAATTAGCTTAATTTAATCTGTACGAATACATAATCGTAGTAGTGCTGATTGACGATTATACAGTAGGTATACTAGCATGGACTTTTGTTCGTCGATTTGCTATTTAAATACGAGAATAGCTACCTACATACATATAATAATTTGATCGCAAATCTTATTTAGTCCCATTATACTATTATCACAAATCATTTAATATTTTTACACATAGTTATAGGTTATAGATTAAAAAACACATTATTATATAGTACTATATTACACCATTTTGGACAGTTGAATGTACAAATTACAAAAAATAGTAAAATTATGTATAATGGTACATCTTATTTACGTAGTCGATATGATGATTACAGATGTATTTATAATTATTGTCATTAAAGTGTTATGAATTATGAGCTAAAAGAGTATCAAATCCTTGGCATTTTTTAAAAACACCTCTATGATATTTGTATTTTTTCTGTTTCCAACATCATTTTGTGCTGGCTGCAAATCGATTCATTTCTATCTATTTTATTAATTTAATGAAGTGCTAAACATTTATCTGAATCCATTAAGGCATTCTTTTCATAATTCAAAAATATAGATAACTTATGTTCATTTTCTTAATAAATTAATAAATTAGATAGATTTTTCAAGCAAACTATTACTTCTTTTTAAATAACAAACACAATAGAACAATTCTTTATGTAATATTATAGTTGATGTGTCATCCAAATTTTTAAAATAGGTAGCAAACTACAAGTGGTATGACCATATGATCAAACATCACACAATCATAGATTAAAGTGTTAGAACAAGTAAACATGACCGATAGTCAAATACAAGTTACAACCATAAATATATCATAAACTTTATAATATTATGTATAATTGGTAGAGGTATAGAGGTAATTATATGTAAGTAGTAAATAAAAAAATTAAAACAACACAAATATAATAAATAAGTAATATATTTTTAAATAAAAAGTTCATACATCACAAGTAGTTTAATTGCACAATACACCTATATTGATACTTGATGACTATTATTATTAAAAATAAATTGTACAAAATTTAGTTTATAAATAAGTTCCTAAAATTTTGTAATTTCATTTAAATATAATAATAAAATTAAGTTAGATATTATTACTATAAGTAATAATAATTTATTAACAAATGACACAGTTAAGACTGATATGGAGTATTTTTTTTTTGGAAGAAGATTCAACACAAATAGAAATGGGTGTTTATATTTGGTGAAGAAATATGTCTTTAGGGAATTTTTCTTTTAATGTGTCATTGTGAACCAGTGCTCGAAGTAAGAGGGGACAAAGCCTTCTTTCTTTTTAAAAAATATATAAGTGTACCCATTCTAATTATATCATATAATCAATTAGACACTTAAATACTCAGGTACACATATGCATCCCTCTCCTAATATTTTTCTTAATTCAAGCACTGCCATTAACAAATAAAATATAATAAAAAATCCAATTGGCTTTATTATGATTGATTTTAAGTTTCAGAGTGCAATAATTACTTATAAAGTTATAAATAAAGTAATATCATATGTTTGGATTAAAAGTAGATATTATGGCCAACAATATTAAATAGTAATTTAATTTTACACTAATTAAATAATATTAAAAAAAGAAAATCATGTAATACAATGTAGCAATAAATATATATTTTTAATTTATGTTTGTGAAAAATATAATAAAATTGTATTTTACCAATTACTATGCTAAAATATGATAGCTGGTTAATTTTACGAATAAGTTTATCTATGAGTAGTAATCATTTTACATAATTACATTTAAAAAAAAAAATGTTTGGGTAATGTTCGGGTAGTTCATTATTTTGTTCATAAAAATGTGTAAATTAAATTGAAGCTCCAGTCAAAAGTTTCTTGTCAAAGAGGAACTCCCCAAGAGCTCCGTGAGCTTCCAACATCTTACCAAGGTTGGATATTTTACCAGCTAAGTCACGCTGACCTTCATATTGTTCAGTCAAGAAATCGCCAGTTAACCAATCAACTAACTGAAAATAATTAAACAAAACCCATTTAATTAAAGCTTTTTAAATAGGTAAAAAAAGTGTTGTTATTTGACATAACATTGTTTGCTTAGTCCAATAGCTACAGCTGTACAGAACATATTAATTTTTATAAGTAATATTAAAATTACTATTATTTAAATTAAAACCTTTCACTTTTATAATAGATATTAGATATATAGAGAGCTTATGTATACTATGGCTTACTAAGACAACTAAAGCATACCTAACTAATGACATTTGAAAAAAAAATATAATAGTAGACATTTAGATTGGAACATAATTTAAGACGTTAAGTTAGTTGATAATGAATGTAATAGATACATGTTTTAATAATAAATAAAAAAAGCATACTACATTTGTCTTGTAGCATCAGGACATGGGTGACCGAACTGTTTTCACACATGGCTTAACCCCCACACATCAAAGAAGAGCATGCCTAGTTGCTTATTTGTATACATGATTTATTAGTATAAAATATTGAACCAATTATTATGGTTGTTATATTTTCCTAAAAATGTAATGTTTAAATATTGATTTTACCTACTAAAATGGAGAACATAATATGACACAACATGATGTAAATTAACTAAGGCAAATAATGTTTGCTTAAGGAAATAAAGAAAACATAAAAAATACATGTACAAAATGTGACTAATTTAATGTAAATAAATTAAGTATCTATATAAAAACATTGTCAAATAAAAGTTGTGTAAAATCAATAATTGCCTGGTAGTTAATTGTGTTAATATATTCAGTGACAATAAGATAGAAATTGTATAAGGTATTTTTTTACAAAATGTATGACTCTGAAATAACAAGCTTATACCATGATGGAAAATAAATAAGTTATAACGAACAGAAAAAAAAGAAACCATATAAATGGTAATAATATCATTTTAGTTTTTATTAATGAGAGATAAAAGTTTAGAATATTAGTCTTGATAATTTAAGAGGTAAATTAAATATTGTAGTAATATTTTTGCTTTCCCACATAACTGGCCTAGCCATAAGTCAAAAAATTTTAAAAAGTATAGCATCTCATGTCTATTACATACGCACACAATCATGAACAGTTATGAAATAAAATGTTTAAGGTACATATCATCTCAGTAATTTTCCAATAACTTACAAAAGTATAGGAAAATGAAGCATGGAGTTTTCTTACATAAAGAAAATCTAAGTAAACAATAGTTTTATAATATTGTATTATGTAAGTATTAATTTATAATCTAAAATTAAAATTATGTTGATTTATTATACGGGGATAATTTAGAGATAAAAATTGTATCTTTGTGTTAGCAGTACTTAAAAAGTGCATACAAATAGTTAAAACTATTTTTATTAAGTCTTAAATTTGATATTTTTTTTGTGATAAGTATTTTATACCTTCTTTGTTGATGTAATACTTAAAACAGTATTGTATAATAGATAATAAATAATTTATATGGTTGAGAACTACCTATCATAATAAGTTAATTATTAATATAATGATAACATATTAATTAATATTCCAAGTACTCTATACATACATATATACATTAAACTATTTATATTAAATAGTTATAACATCCCATTAAGACATAAGTGATCTCAGAAACACTCAAATTGATAAAGCCATAGTGACAAATCAACAAAGAATAAATGTTGAAGTATTAATTTGATAAAAGCTCTTATTAAATGCCCATTCATTCATTATTTTATTTTTTAAATTAATAATATGTCACGTAACATTGATAAAATAGAATACTACTCACATGATAGTCGTTGAAATCTTGTCCATCACGTCCAGGTTCCTCACATGTGGTGGCAATATCTCTTATCTTACGAGTGACATGAGCTTCCAATTTTAAAGCATCTTTCAATGCACTTAGACCATCAGCCCATGCTTCAGACAAAGGTTGCTATAAATAAAAAAAGTATATATTTAGTACATTAACCAATTTAAGTTACATAACATGGGTTATAGATATATTTACATACAGGGTCACGAATTAATTGACTGATATCTTTGGTCAAACCTCCTCTCATCAACAGATATCCAATAATTTTAATAGCATGGTCACGTTCTTCGCTGGCACTATCAAAGAAGATTTTTGCGAATCCTGGACGATTCACTGTGTCTTTAGAAAAATGTGCTCCCTAAAAATACACAATATAAGACCTATTAATGTAGTACCAATTATTGTATTTTGAGTTCTCACTGGTTAAACATGATTAATATTATAGTCGCATAAACCAACAGATTTAGAAAAATAATCTAATTATTTCTAATTACCATTGCAAAATATGTCATTGCTGCAGTAAGTTCTTCCTGGACCTGCTCTTTCATTTTTTTCGTGCATGGGTCAACCATGGTGATCCAATCGTCTGGAATTTGGACCTGAGGCAGTTTACCTAAAAATGAAAACATTAAAACACATTTGCCACACACAGAGCTAGCGATTTGCAGCACTTAAAAAACATTATGAATAGGTAATGACAACAATACTTACAGGTCATTTTTCCTTGTGCCTCTTGGCTGGCCACAAAGAGAACGGCTGCCACACAGAGCAGCGAGAGTTTGAACATGATTCTGGCGTGCGGACACGGATACGCGGAGATGTGTGTGCAACGACGACTTCGTCGAAGGCTCAAAACAGAGACTGAAACTGAAACGGAAAAACGAATGTAGCGACAACAACAACGGATAGTAATAATATTATAACTGTGCGCAACGGACGAGACGGGACGTCGGCGATAGCTGACCGCGGAATAAGTCTACGACAATGACGGGCAAACATATTAATTATAAATCGTATATATATATATATTATTAATATATCATATTATTATTGTGTTCAAAGAAAATAATAACGTATCAGCTTGGCGGGAGGGAGGGGGCGGGGCGAAGAGATGCGGAAAGGAAAAATAAAATAATAACAACAACATCGGGTAAATCGTACCGAAACGTTACGATACAATATTATTTATTGCGTGTGGAAAACGATGAAAGTCGTACCTGGCGCTCAAAAACGGTCCAAAGAAAGAAAAATCCTGTCGACGGGTATTCGAGCGTCGGTGCTGTAGGCGAATAATACCGAGTTACAAACTCACAATGGAAGGTTGACACACAATGTCTACGACGGCGGAGAACATATAATATCGTAATCGGTCGGCACTCGTTATCAGGAGTCGACGCTCGGCCACCGCCGCCGAAGCCGATCGTACCCTCCACAGCGGTCGACCTTCCACCCGGGGGGGGGGCACACCGCCCCGAACCAGCCCGTCCTTCGAACGCCACGGCCACCGTCACCGCCCACCGACCCCGCCGAACGTACCACCACCGACCCGCCACCCGTGGGCATACCGAAGACCGAACCGCGGGCTTCTGCGTCGTATTCCTTCCCTAAAACATATATTTTTTTTCGTCGTATTCTGTTTGTCTTGTTAATCAGCGATTCAGCTGGCCTGCGCAGGACACAACTCGGCTGAAATAGTTATTTATCGTCGTGTACACATTATTACATTTATGGTATTGCACTGTCGATATTTGAAGTAACACAATTATTTATACATACATATATATATATATTATGATAAATCGTTATTTTCTGTCCGTTCTGCGTTTTATCTAATTTGACGGCGCCGATTATTGTTGACTGCCGTCTTTTGTGTGCCATTCACCGTAACGCTCTTTGTACTCCCCTGCTATTGTGCACCAGACCCCCCGGCGTGTCGTCTCGATTTCCTTCTCCGCTCTCAACGTCACCGCTCGAATCGCTTTGAGTGCGTTTTCGTTCCGCCGACCAGTACCAGTCTATTCCGTCGACCGCACTTGTCTGCATTATTGTTTCCGCGTCCGTCGGCCATTACTAACGCACAGAGTGAGTATGATTTTTTTTTCGAAATTATTTTATGATCGAGGCGACCTTTTTTTCACCATATTATTATTATTATTATTATTACCTACTATCATCATTTCTATTTTCGTTTATCCCTCGCTTCCGTGTCACTTCGACGCTCTTCGATACAACTACTAAATCTACCTGCTCTACACCCTATAGTAGTTATCAGAGAGGAAAATTAAAAACAACAAAATTATTATGATACAATTAGACAGATGTAAACATAATATTATAATTTTATTATAGGTACTGTTTATCGTGTCGCATTTCTATATTTCACAATAAAATGAAATCATTTTGGTTATTTATGTACAATTATTGTTGTATTTACTGTGTGTTATATTATTATTATAACTAGGTATAATTATGTTGGTGTGTTTATAAAATTATATCTATATCGTTGCCTGTTGGTTTCTTTTGTCTGTTACTTTTATCTTATGTAACTATTAACTAGGTATTAATACATAAACTAAATTGTTATTCTATTTCTCTGTTTATACTTATAAATGATATTCATACAATCCTAAGTACTTATTACAATTTTGATATAATAAAAAAAATTATGATTTTTGTATTTTGCAAAATTTTTGTTAGTACGGACCTAGTTGTGAGTCATATTTATAAGTTAATAAATTATTTTAAATTGGTAAATCAAATAAGAAGCCACTTTATATATTTTAATAGGTAATAGTACATAAGATAAAAATATGAGGTAAAAGAAACCAACTGTCAACAACATATCATTTTATATGGCAACATTTTTAAATAGGATATTTATTTTAAACATTTTAAGAGTCATTTATGAAATAATAGTGTGTGATACAAAATTAAAATTTCTACGTGATAATTAAAACTGATGGCCAATCATTGACATTTTGTTTATTTTAACAAGATAAGTCCCACACACTGTAGTGGTTGAGGTAAAATGTAGCCAAACAAAATTTACCAACACCACAGTGGCACCATAAAGACTATAAAATCTGTCTGTTGCAACCTGTAATCATTAATTAATGCACTAGTGACATTATATTAATTTTTTTTTGCGTATGGCACTATGTCCGGGACTGGGCCTGATGGCCTAGTCAGATGCCTATTTGGCAGAATTTTGATTGGGCACACGTAGGTTTCTGCCATGCCCATTGGGGGGGGGATGGCGGCCCCTCTCCAGATAGGTGTCTGCCCGAAGAAAAATGCTGGCCGTTACCGAGGTTTGAACCAGCAACGGTGTAAGTTGCAACCAACACTTTAGTCAGCTCGGCCACTCCGTCCCCCGTTAAATTAAGAATAGTTTACTGATGTATTTTTAATTAAATAGTTTACTTGTTAGGTAGGTAGGTACTAAGATTTAATTTTTCATTTCAATAAAATATCATAGTAGAGAAAACATAGTTACTTAATTGCAAATCATTATTTAACTAAAGCTCTTTCATTTTAAGGATTATGATGTGTATTATCTGTGTTATAACATTGATTCAATATGCAATCAATAATATATTTCTAAAAATCTACATTTTGTACCTATTGTTAAGATAGTTTTGTTAACTTAAAAAAAAAATTGTAGGAATTAATAGGTTTTGTAGGTACAATAGGTACACAGATTAATACTTACCTAGATTAATTAATAAAACTCGTTTTAAAATATTTTGACTATCAGACCTCATAATGTAATACTTTTTTAATTTCTATTATAGTATTTTTCATCTTAAAACTAAATCTGAATGATATATATTAAAATTATCAAGTTCAGTTTTGTCGTACTATAATAGTATGTAGTATATAAACTAAAATATTAAAAATGCTGTTTTAGTGCCTTCTATATTTTTATATAGGTGTGTACTATAGATTTTATAGTTGTACCTTTATATTTTATTAATTAATTTTATTTTCATGCCTTAAATAATGCATTACATATACTTTAAGTAGTACCTATTCACATGTTATAAATTAAATATAATCTTAATACTGATAACTATAATATTTAAAACTTAAAAAATGTATGAAATTCTGGTGTAAGTAGATTAATGACAATAAGATGTAATGTATTTATGATAAATACTCAAGTGGACAATATTATTGTCTAGTACTCTAATGTCTACTCGTCTACTCATGACTTGCATAATGATAAGTAATGGGGCATATGGCCATAGTAATTTTTTTTTAATCTATAGTTTACGTAATCATAAGTATTTGTACGTGGTAATTGTGCATAGTGATTAGCTTAGGGTAAGCCTTGGTTCAAGTGTACTTACATTATAATTGTTAACTACATAAATAATTTAAAATTTAAATAGAAGCTGTAAAATAAATTGCATTTCATTAATGTAGGTAAGTATAAAGTTTAGGTATAAGTTAGGTGACCATATTTTTTATATTGAAAATTGTAGTCTATTACTTTATTCCACACTTAAAATTGTTAAACCAACAGAAAAGAACAATATTGCTATTCACGTTATCACTTTAATTTGTTATAATAAAATGGTATAAATTTATATGTTACTCAGAAGTCATTAATTATAATAGGAACAATTAGAGAAATATAATACGTTAAATTGATAATCCTCTATGATTACCATTAAAATAACCAACCATTTAATTTAAGCTTATAGTTGCTGTTGTAAGTTAATATTTTCAAATATATTTTTTTATAAGTTATTACTGATTGTAAGATCTAGTTTGGTCTTATTTGGCTTAGTTTTTAGCAGAATTTTTATTTGGATGTCATTTAGGTTTCTGTCATGCCTAATTTTAGGGGATGGATGTCACCAGTCCTTTCCCCAGTTGCTAGCTCAGAAAGATACCACTCGAATCCAAGTTTGAATCATTGAGAGTGTGCATTTTAACAGCCACCTTAGTCCATTCAGGAACTCTGTCCCATCATTATCGTTATTACTAATGAAAAAAGTTTTTACAAATTGTTAGTTAAAGGTTTTTTTTTATCTTAGAATAATATCAAATTAATGATTATTTATTTATAGAAATTTAAATCAATTTAATTTTTGCATTTGAAAAAAGGAGAATTAATTAAAACTAAATGCAAATAGAATATAATTGTAACTATATACAGCAACTATGTAGTACTAGTGTGGATAATAGATACTGGCAGCTAATATAATCTACTAATCTTCTATAATCTATAGTACTTTTCATGAATTTAGTATAATATAACTACTAGTTATTCAACTCTCAAAATAGTCTTTTGCAGTCGTATCTCAAGTCTTTTTATGTGAACTTAAACTAAACTTAATTAAACCCAAAATTCTTAATTAATTGCATGCATCAATGAACTTAATAATTAATTATTTATTGAATTTCAGTAAGTTTTATTTTAAGAGCTGTTTTTAGAATTTTTTGACGTTTTTCATGACACATTTGAGTACATGTTTTGTATATTTAAAAAAAAATTTATAATATTTGATAAATACTAAATGTTTAACTATTCAACTAAAAGGAAAAAAAATGAATAGGTTCTATGTATCAAATTATGGACATAACTTGGCCAATTTTTATGGGGGAGGGAGTGTGGTCAAACTTTATTTTATGTTGATATACGTGTATTGAGATACTAGATATTATACTTATTCTGTTTAATGTATAACATAATATTATTTAAGCTAAATTTTTATTGTAGCATTTACCGTTAAATGATACAATAGAAAAAAATGTAATTGATGGTCATATCAATGTAATCAAATACCTATTCCAACTTTTTAGTTTGTGTATTTGGGTCTAAAGGACATATTTTTGATAGGTATGAGAGCATATTTAAAATTTTTGTGTATATTTTGAGAGTTTATCAAAACTTTGGTAAATATTTTTTCATGAATCAAGGTCAACAATTATATTAAATTTTAATAAAGAATGTGATCAGTATTGTCTGTGTTCTTGTTTTTTTTATATACATAAACTTCGTAGAAAATAGAATAAAGTACCTAAAATAAATAAATTGAATTTTTAACCCGTTTTTAGCTTGTAATTTTTTTTTTACAGCATAATCACGGCATGTTTTTAATTTGTTGATGCATAAGTACATATTTTTGATGATTTCTTACTGCATAAAGTCCTTGCTTCATTTTCAACATTTTAAATGTATAACAATAGTTTAATTATTATGTAGGTACATCAACTTAAATTTAATACCAAACAATCAAATATGATTAATAATTATAATATTATATTAATAATAGGTAGTATTAAGAAGTTTTGCATAAAATAACCTTTCAACATTCTAGTATATTTTAAATTTAAATGTTTATATCAATTATCAATTGATGTATTCGTCTTCATTATGTAAAATAGTCATGTCTTTCTTGTAAATGTTTTGAGGCGACAAAGATATGTAAACAAACATTCACTCAAAGTAAAACCCATTAGTATAGATAAAACAATCTTAATATAAGTACAGTATATATTGCTAAATGAGCCAATCGAGTCTTTTACAAATACAAATTTAAATGGGCTTCAAAATGTTCAATAAGATTAAACTATGAGTACAATTTCCCAAATAGTTTTAATTCTGCCTTTAAACCATCAAAGTCAATTTTGTTGGTGTTAAAAATTTCTAAAATATCTTCATCCCTCAAAATTAAAGTTTCACCTTGGTTTTGTTTTTTCTTGAGAATTATGGGAGGAGATTTAATTCTGTTATCATGATACACAAATGGCAATAATTTTTTATTAATCCATTAATTTTTTTTATATTTAAAATTCTTTAAATTCTTAATCATTTAAAAAATGCCTTTTTGAATATATTTTTCTAATTAACTTACAAAATTCTAGGGGTACTAGTACAATGTTCTTACAAACATCATTTCATTAGAAATATAATATATGTAATACTACCTATAGAATATGTCATGGAAAGCCAGATACGTAATTTTAAATATAATTTTGATCCATCAGAATAACTCTAAATCATATGAATTTTAATAAACAAATATTTTGTATTTAACATTATGTTAAAACAATTAATGAGTCATTTTTTTAAGGTGTGGAATATTCTTACTTTGTTATATCATTTATTTTTAAAGGCATTTTACTTCATTTTAGGTTATTTAGATTTGTGCCCCAATAAGTTAAGACAAATTTAATACTAATATAATACCATAGTTTAATTGAATTATTTTTTTGTATACACAATTTTCAGTATCAAGATGAGCACTAAATTGTTTGCAATTTGTGTGACAACTATCCTCTGTGTAGGATATGTTGCTGGTGAATATTGTTATAATGATGTTGTTGGTGCATGCAGCCCAGTTGGTTTGTTTCATTTTTTTTTATTTTTATAAGCAACAATTTTTTATTTTTCATATTTAATGTTGTATGCTTATCACAGGAGGAGAAGTTCAAAACTGTAATTCAAGATATGGAGCTTTCAAGGGTGATGAATTATTAGTAAATGTACAGGGTTATGCCAACACACATATTTTGCGTAGTTTTCAATTCTTGCTAATGGTAAATAACATTATTGTCTTACATTAACAATTATTTTACAATTAACTTAATTGTTATTTGCTTAATATTGTACAAAAAATTTAAATCTAGGTATCTATACTCTTTTCTCAAAAGAGAATAATTAGTTGGCTAAACAATTTTTGTCAGTGCTGCGCTTTTCCCACCAACAAGTGACTACCCGGTGTTATTGCAATTAAGTGGTTCTCAATTCTCCATTTTCATATTCACGATGCAAAAAGAAGAGATTGTTTTCTTTTGAGACAGAGTATATTATATAACTTTGTTTGTGATTATAGAGTGTTTGATTCCATATATTATTTCTATCTATTATATCAACTATAATCTCACTCTGTAATTGTTTCTTATAAATAAAATATTATAAGTATATTATTTTATTGGTATAGTTTATACTAATAATTTTACTAAATCATATATTTCGTTATGTATTTGTTTCTTGTAGTCTTCTCATTTTGGTAACTTTGAAAAGAACCGTGGTGGTTTTGAAAAGCTTTACAGACAATTGTCTGACAATACGTGGGAACAAGCAATTGATCTTGTGAAGTTTATTGGTAAACGAGGAGGACACATGAACTTCCGCGCACGTAAAGAAGAGAAGAATGAAAAAGTATTTAGTGGTTTTACTTTTTTGAGAATACAATATATTAATATATAATATTATTTATAAATATTGAGTTAATATAATATTTTCTATTCCAATAGCAAATTGATTTTGAAATGTACGAATTGGGAAGTATGGCAAGAGCTTTGGATATGCAAAAAGGTTTGGCTGAAGAAGCACATTTCATTCATGCTGAAGTCACACGCAGAAAGGAACATGATCCCGAGGTGAGAATTATCATTTTTAAATTAATTTTTTGAATAATAATTTAATTTGTGTTTGTTATTTTATCATAGGTTGCATCATACTTGGAGAATAACTTCGTACATCAACATTCTGACATAATAAGAAAATTGTCTGGTCACACCAATGACTTGAAGCATTTGATTGCCAACCAACCCGATCCAAGCTTGTCCCTTTATCTCTTTGATGAATACTTGCAGAAATCATTATAAGATAATTACATATGACTGTATGCCATTTATTATTCTACAAAACTCTATCATTATACTTTTAATCCCAATATTATTTAGAACAAAACAAAACAAATAAAATAAAATATAATTCTAGTAATTAAGGAAAATATTTATAATGTAATTATTTATTAAATCATAAACATACGTGAGTTGTCATTTTTGACAGTTCAATTTATTATTATCATTTATTGAAACAACTTATTCTTATTATTTTGGTTATTCATGTGTAATTCACTTTAAAATATTACAAACAATAAATTAATAAATACTACAAGTCTAATGAAACTTTCGAGATTCAAAACAAAATCCATTTGACATATTTTATTTTATTGTTTGAAACTTTTGTAGTATTTACATTATGTGACATTTTGTTTATTTAAATAAAGTAATATTTTGTATCCTTTATATTTTTTGTAGATAAAACTAAAATTCAACACAATTAACATATTATTTATTAACAATCAAATTTGAAATTTATTAAGAACATAAAATTGCAGAGTTATTGACCAAAACAGTTACATGTAATATTTTGCTTTATTGGTATATGTTTTTTTTCGACAAATTACATGGTTGGATAGGTTGAATACTCAAAAAAGTTTTGTTTAGCAGCTATTTTCTATGGTTTGTAGAAATGTGTTTTAATAAAAGCTATTTTTTGTTTTGAAAACAGACTGAAGGGTTCCTTGCAACAACAAGAAAACTCCATTTTTGTTGAAAATGGGGTTTTTACCGTTTTCAATTTTAAGAGTATATGTTTGCGAGAACAAGATAAATCCAGCCCTACTCCCTTTAAAAGAAATGATAAAATATAACTTGTAGGTATCTAATTTTTTTTTCCGTTGAGAAACCAGATTGCTCTAAAGGTTTTTTTTGTTTCTTGAAAAGTTAAAAACCAATGACAAAAAACCACAAAATGTTTTTACCTAAAAGTTTGAAAATAATTCAATTCACTCTAATGTCAATACTAACAGCACACTATTGAAAATGGTGAACAAGATTTTGTTATGTCGTACGGGACAACATATGCGGATATGACCATAGTTGTACTACTGTATAAAATATTATCATATTCATGTGTATGACCCTAGAATCTAGATCATACACTTAAGTTATTTTCTTATTTATTTAACACATTAAATGTTGTAATACTATGGTATAACCATGATTTTAACTCATATTCCCAACAATTAAAAAAAACATAAAATTTAATGATCAATTAAAATCATGTAGAAAAACCTATAGATAAATCAAAATTTAAAAAGAAAAAAAATAACATATGTTTTATAACAGTATATTTATTACTACACTTGAGTGCAAAATAATTTTATTAATAGACATAAATAATCTAAAAAGTATATTAAAAATTTCTTTCTGAAAGAAGATTTATTGTTTAATACCTCTCGCAACTTGTATTGTCTCTGGTAATGGGCATTATTATTTTAGTAAGTGTTTTACTTATTAATTCATTACATATTCATGGCTAAGTGCTTCTAAATCAACATTTATCGGATGTGAGCCATGAAAAAAATAAACTTCTTTAATAAGTGTACTGTAAAATTATTATTTATTCAGTCATTCTTATAACTGTGTTAGCTGTGTTAAAGATTAATATTATAGTACTATATTTGATTTAGACAATACTTAAGTTTCTTTATTTTTAGTTAAGATGACTAATTTAGTCTTTAGCCTATGGTTTAGTATCTCTCCTTCAACTTAGCAATTGGCTTTGGAGGTGATCCATCTATTACCAATCCCTGTGTATGTAATATAACTACATTTTAAATTGCAATTAATGAAAAATATGTATAATATATTATATAATAGTTATATATTATTATAACCTGATAGGTACTACTGTATTAGTGTACAGTGTACTACACATTGAAAGTATAAAAAAAGTAATTAAATAGGTAATCAAAATAACCGTGTTGGTCTGTGTACTCAGGAGTCGGGGTCGTTGATTACACAGATAATTATATTAATAACTATTATTAAAATGTTAGAGACCAAGGAAATGTTGATGAGGGTTAGAAATATAAATCCAGTTTTGGTGTATGATTTATAATTTACATGGTTTATTGTATGGTTAAAAATTAAAATATTTAAGTTAACAGGGGTTTTGATTAATAAGTAGGAGCTATGAGTCAGAGCACTGCGTGCTAGTACATAGTATTACACTATTACATAAGAAATAGGTAAATGGGTCACAATTTACGCGGCGAAACGTTCTGAACGACCGTTCGTGAAATAATAATGTGCCCCTCCCGCTATTACGACGCGCACAACGCCGTCTCTTGAGCGTTGTATATTTTTCGCTCTTACCAGTTACCAGAACGGCATCTTACAATGTTTATAATCATTATTTTGTCGAGTATTTTTTAATTTGGGTATTATTATTACTTCCTCGGATATTTTTTCCTAAGTTCATACCTACAAACGCTATAAAACATGAATAAAATCTGTGAACATGTTCTTGTAGTAAAAAAAAATGTATTAGGCATATTTGTAAATACAAAATAATTAGGATATTATTTTTATATGGAATGATGGTTTGTTAAGCTGAATGTTTAAAAAAAAAGTACCTACCTATACCTAGTATATGATGAGTGTTGTGAGGTAGGTACCTTGGTACCTACCTATAGGAAGAATAAATTTCTCATTCATAAAATATAACAGATAAACAGATAAAAGCTTGTAAAATAATTTCTAGTTTTAAATTAATATTCTCATTACTGAAAAACATTTGAAAGCAATATTAATTGTTGAGTAACCACCAGTGTCGGCCTGGCCAGGGCCGCGAGGCAGCAAACGCGGTCGAGGCCGTGAGATTTTTATAAACATAGGGCTTTCAGAAGTGGGAACGAAAAAGCGTCACATACAGGGTCACAAGATTTCTATTTCAATCGTATTTTAATTTTTATCTATTACAAAAGCATTCATTGAACTGGTATACCATTAGTAGGCTTACAAAATATAACTAGTTAATATTTCGGATGGTGGTGGGTGGGAGGTGGAGGATATATACAGTAACACGCTACCCTAGGGGCATATAGTACATAATATATAAAGAAAATAATAGAGGCCCCAGGATAAAATTGCGACCTAGGCCGACACCGGCAACCACCAAATAAATGGCATTTGCAAAATAGGTATTTTATCTACATGTGCATTAGTGATAACTGGATACTCCAGCTTAATAATACCAACTTATAAAAAGTCTAGAACTTCGCAAAAGCCTAAAATATGAATATTATTAAGAGTAATATTATTATTACATATGGATTTATATTAATACATTTTAATATTAATATAAATAAATAAAATAATCCTAACAGAATAAACAATTGGATAAAATTGTATGACATCAATTATATTTGTGAACGTAATATTCAAATGTACATGATCAGATTACCTGATGACCGCTTGTTGATGGTCACTTACTAATTTATCACCGGCTGATTTTTCTAACATTTTCTTAACTTCCGTTTGCGTATTTTGTTGGATGTCACAAGTCTAATAAAAAAAAAGAAAGTACATACAAATAACTAATATTCAAACAAAATATTAACCAAGACGATTCGTACAAAAAGGGAGATGGCATGATAAACTTTGTATAACAGTAACTTATAAGTAAATTTAATTCAAAATGTAAGGAACCATTTTGTTTCTTAAGATTACTTAGTATCTCCTTGTATTATTTTCGTCTTACTAATAGGCATAATATAGGTACCGGAATTCAGCAGTTCCAATTTTGAGTTGTTGCCTGTTGGCTTAAATATAATAGTGAATTGACTTAATATAAAACTTAAATGTAAGAACATTATCTATGTTCTATTGTTGGTTTCTTACAATATTTTTATTTTTAAGTGAATTATGGTTTTTAAATATTAATATTTTACATACTCAAAATTCAATTAAAAATTAATGAGTTAACATAGTTAATGTTCTTACACTTAAGTTTGATAATAGCTCAATTCACTCTAATCTTTAAGCCATCAACAAAAAATTGGAACTGCTGGACATACATTTCAGAATATTATGATCTAGTAAGGCAGTAACACTCGTGGTTACTACATCCTTTTAAGTACATTACGCAATTCACAAAATGTGATGATCTTTGAGTAGTGTTAGTTATTTTTTTTAACTTATCAAATCTATAACAATAATACAAATATGTATTTTTAAATTTTAAGTTGGTATACAATACTTATCACATAATAATATAATCATTTATTAGTTAAAAATTAAAAGTGTATAAAATATAATATTTGCACATTTTAACCTAGTTGTTGATAACCTGGTAAATTCAGAAGCTTAAAAAAAAGGTAAATGTTGTCATTCAAATATCGTTACAATACCTAGGTATATACTACCTTCAATTTAAATAACCAGTAAAAGACTTATGATTTTTGGGGTTTTCACAATATAATGCCTTTAATATAAATAGTTTCATGAAAATAAAACTTGCAAACTTAGTATGATTTGTGAAATTAAAACTCTAAAAAATATCTTCATATGATAAATTAATACAATATTAATTAATGAACTTTAAATTTATAAAAAAAATAATAAATGTGGTTACTTGTTGCATGTTTAGTTTATAAGCAGGTAAACTGAACAATTCTTATTTTTTGATGAATTAAAAAAAATATAAATATATACTTTAAAAGTAAATTGCATGACTCATGAAAGTGTTAAATTATTTTTCTCATACAAATAATTATATTTATATATTTATATCTTGATAAATGAATATATTACTTTTAATTGTTCTTCATCAACATCTGGCACTTCTAGGTGAATTTTTAACTGGCATAACTTGTCCAGCACAGCAATTCCTTGAAAATAAAATTACTTTTGTGTTATTTATATACTTTTGAAATAAATTAATATATCCAATTTATTTAAATGTTTTTAATCACAATTCTTACCTTCTTCTCTGTTGTTACTATATTTACATTCCCATGCATCAAGAAGCATATTATAATATCTGGAGCTATCAAAGTATTTATGATACTTAAAAGATGTAGTGGTTGGAAATACTTTTTGAAATCTAAAATCATAAAAATCTGAGTAGTACGTTTTTGTCTTTCATATTAAGCTATAAAAGTGAAAAAAAATTTACTATTGAAATACATACGAGCCAATTTGTGTAAGTTCATCTTCGTACATAATAAGATGTCGAATATCATCTGGTAATAGATCATCTAATATGCTATCAATATACTAAAATAAAAAAAAGTTTAAAATTAATTTATATTTATAAATTATAATATTGTAACCAATAATTGTACTTCTGCTCTGGATTCAATGTTTGTATAATATTCTTGTTTTTCTTTTTCTTTAGTAGATAAATTGAATGTATATAATCTCTTGTCATAACATAGTGTTGATTTGACTCCTAACACCTTGAGTAAAGTATTCTACACAAAAATTTAATTTTGATAAAAATATTTGTTGAAAATTAGTCATTAAATTAAATTAATATTTGTATAATATATTATAACTCACATGTGTACTACGAGACATTTTGTTTGGGATATGATAACCAGCCATATTCATGAGATCTTTGACTAATGGTCCTTTGACAGCCAAGTCAAGTGGAGAAGATGAATGTAATGATGGAGATATATTGACCTATAACATTGTACTTGTTTTATTAATCAATTATCCAATGGTATAAACTTGGAATTTTAATTACCTCTAATATCCAAGGTTTAAGATATTCATCGAACAAAACATCTATTCCAAATAACTCGTATGCGTTATATCTATTACTCAGATTTGAACTACACATTTGACTCATAGGTGATTCACCACTAATGACAGTTTTTACGACTAGATCTTCCAAACTCTTCCATAATTTTTTAACATCGATTTTGCGTTCTTTCTCCATATACGTCCACAATGAACGTAATGTCCTTAGTTATTGCAATTAATTAATAACCATTAGGTATATTATTTTAAATTTAGATCCTAACATTAAATCTAAAACAAATTCACTTGAAACAATATATTTACCATTTGTGACCTTGACATGCATCAGCATCTTCATTTTCAGTATACTGACTACTAAGTCTATTAATACTGTAGTTTGTCAAATGCATATATCTATCACATATAGTGGTAAGATCAGATGAATACTTAACTGAAATATTAAAAATAAATAAATAAAAGTATTAATGGTATAACAAAAATTATTATACCTGAAGCAAATCGTACAAGCCCATTATCATAAAGATACAGCCGCAGTGGATTGATTGAAGTGATAAGTATATAGAGTCTTAAATCAAATTTGGTGTCGTTGATTAAATATGGATTATCTATGTATCTTTGTACAACTAAAGGTATTTTCTTTGGTATTTGAGCCCATTTTGATATAACACGAATTCCAGATCCTCTAGCAGATGCTGGCTGTGAATAAAACAAAAATTCTTGATATTAGTGTAATCATAATTTAAACGATCAATTAAAAAAATAATACCGGTTTAATAATCCATTTATCTTCATCATTTTTCTCCCAAACTTGCCTTAAAATTCTAGCTTCTTGAGGTAATATATACGATGTGGGTATAAACCCAAAATGTTCTTTGCCATATTTTAACATTAATCTTTGCAAGTTTTTCCACAACCTATCTTTACGACCAATTTGAAAAGTACCCGGAAAATGGTTCAGTTTTTGCTGTTCCCAAAGTGTTTTGAAACATAATGATTTCATATGCTTACCCCAAGTTCCCACCCAATCATTTGATTCTTAAAAATAATAGTAATAAAAACAAATATTAGTTATTACTACCTATTAACATTTAGGTATTAATTCAAAAGGGAAAAAGTATTTATACTTACGGGATCGAGGTAACATCATTAATTCATTAGGTGGAGGAGCTACACCACAAAAAGCGTCAACAATAGGAGGTGTAACACCACAGTGATTTTGTAAGGAAATGGCAGTTTGATTGGATTGATTACTTATGACTGAAGGATCTGTTGTATTTTGAACTAAACAGTGTTCACTTCTAACGAGTTTGAAACCACTATTTTGAATAGTTCGACGTACCACAATTGGAGTAATAGAACTTAGTTTCCACTTTAATAACTTTTGCAAAGATAATGGAAAAGATTCACCTGTAATTAAAATCATTGAAAAATGAATAGTTTTCAACTAAGTACTAAATAAAAATGAAGATTACCTTTAATATCATGCGAAGAAAATCGTATGTAAGGTGGCACATAAGAAAATAAACTACGTCTTAAGGCTGAATGAAATTCAAAATTATCTTTTTGTTTTTGAGCACCTGTACATTTTTTTGTATTGAAAGTTATCATTTTTAATCAGGCATACAGGAATATAGAATATTATTTGAAACTTATATTACCTGAAAATAAATGCCCAAAAACTAATTTATTTGGTTCATCAGTGATGCAATTTTGTTCTATCCTCTTGTTAAGGGTTTGGACTTTTGGAGATTCTAAGCTTTTTCGAGCATCTATTATAGAAACATTAGGTATACAAATAAATAAATTAATATTAACAAATATATGGTGTATTGTAGCGAGTTTTAATTAATATTTACTTTCAGATGTTAAATCCATGTGTGTTTTTAAAGAACTGAAATAAAATAATTTAATAATTGGATTTAAGACTTAAGACTTAAATACTAAATTGCTTAATTAACTGTATTCTTACTTAACAGGAAATACGGATGCGTTATTTGTATTATCAGTTCGCTTTCTTGGTTTAGGGGTTAATGTTTTACTATTTTCCTCACATAATTTTGGCTTTTGTTTTTCATAGGTATCATTATTAAGTATTAATTCTGGCTTCGGGTTTGTTTGTTTGATAATTTGTTTGTCTTCTTTAGTAATTATCATTGATTCTTTTACCTTTAGAGTATCCTTAATATTTTTCATTGATTTAAATGTGTCTTTTGATTCTACAGGCATGAGTGTAGCTAATCGTACATGGTTGACAAGCGTTTTCTGATTTAGAATATCCATGAGATCTTTATTATTTGGACTTGTATTATTCAAATTACTTAATACAGTCGAAGACGAGCACCCTTTTTTTTGCATATAATTTGTAGAAATAACAGGCTTAAGAGTAGTTGTTTGTAACATCTAAAGCATAATATTTGATATTATATAATATTATGTATAGGTAGTTCATAATATATAGGTATACAAAAATAAAAAATAAATTTTTACTGAAATATTTACCTTTCGCTGATGATGAACAGGATTGGGTTGTCTTATGTGCATATCATACTTTTTAATTGATGTATAGTTAATTTGATCGATATTTTTGAATTCTTCTTGATCTACACGTTTCTCATTTTCTTCTCTTTGTCTTAAATTATTATGGTATTGGAAAACTTTATTGTGTCTATCAATCAGTTCATGTTCATACATTGGTTTTCTTGAATAATCTTTATTTTTATTTCCTTAAATAATGGGCATTTTACTATGTAGATATTGTCTAATATTTTAATGATTAAAAAAATAAAATCTTCTGTTTGTAGATTGCAATATATTACAAATAACTAACTAAAAGTATCATTTTGGATTTAAAATAAGAATTTTTAAATAAACTTATTAGAAATTTATTATATTACTCACCAAATGTATGAGGAGATTTGGATGATGCATTTGAGTAGTTTAAATTGTGCAATGTAGGATCAGTATCCAAAATTGGATAGGGATTTAATTTTAGCAGTTTTTCTGAACTCTGATCCCTTGTTTGTTGAAAGTTGGTATGAAGAGTTTGTAAACGATCCATAGGACACCAACGTTCCTTAATCCCATCTGATGAAAGTTCATTATGCTCTTGGTGCGTATCAAGTGGTTGAGAAATTTTTGGTCTATTCATATTATGTACATTGCATACAGGACAAAAACAGTTTTCTGGCACAGTTCCTACATTTGGCAGATTATTAAGAAATGATATATATTTTGATTTTAAACAGGAATTTTTTAATAAACTAATTAGAAATTACTTATTGTACTTACCAACTGAATGAGGATATCTGGATAATACATTTGAATAGTTTAAATTGTCCAATGTAGGATCAGTATCCAAAATTAAATAGGGATTTAATTTGAGCAGTTTTTCTGTCTTACGATCCATTGTTTGATTTAAGTTGGAACAATCAGTTTGCAAATGATCCTTTGGATACCCTCGTTCTTTAATCCCATCTGATGAAAATGTATTATGTGCTTGGTGGATATCATGTGGTCGAGATCTTTTTATTAAATTTATATGCACTTTGCCTACAGGGCTTATACTTTTTTCTGGTACAGTTCCGTGTTCAGAATTAATGACCATCTCTTTGGTTAATATTGAATATGATTTATTGTTTATTTTATATTAACTTGTATATTGTTATAAAATAACTGTCAGATTTGTCTATAAGCATAAAAACATATTTAAAAAAAATTAGAATGAAAGCATTATAAAAGTATATTTGGGCACAAAATTATATAACAATTTTATGCAATTAATTCAACACCACAATAAGTATGATTACATAATACTTTTATTTGAAAACATGCATTTGACCAAGAGAGAAGAGTGAGGTTAGATGTGTTTTAGATAGATAAGGCCAGTAGTTAGATCATAGCATGTTTATAGTAATTACCTAAATGATGTATTTGGAAGTTGGGACAATATTAAGACACTTTGAACTTTGAAGTGTACAAATTACAAACACTTACTCTGTTATTTATAGAGTGACATTAAAAATAAGCCATAGTTGAAATCATTTTAGAAGAAAATATTCTCTAGAATTCTTTAGAATATATTGCAAATTAAATAAGTCATATCCATAAGCCTGACTAGACTTCATTCGCAGCGGCAGCCTAGCTAATAACCGGCGCTACCTTAATGAACCAAATAAAGCCCTATAAACCAAAGGCCGTATTTTTTTAACAACATAGAGAAGGTTTAAGACATAAAGGTCTAATAAATATTGAGTTATTATTAACTAAAATAAACGTGTAAATTGTATACCTATACCTTTTTTAGTAAGAAATAGTCGCTGGCTGAAAATAAAAAACAATCAAACTCGACAACCGCAGATGCTTCCAGGCAGGTCGGTATCGACATGGAATAATAAATAATTTATTATTATAATTATTTAGTTTAGCAAAAAAAAAAAAACAATTAATTTTTTCTGAATATCTAAGCGAATGTGTTATATTAATTATTGGTAAAAAATAACTAATAAAAAATAACTAATCGAATTTTCACACATTGCCTACTAAGATTGCTGAGTTGCATTTATAGTCGCTCGTCGGCGTATCCACAGTTAAAATAAAAAATATTATTCATATAGACTCTAGGAAGTTCATGAACGAGTGAACAGAACAATATTGTTTTGTATTGCCTGAAAGGGTTGGAGCCATTCCAGTCTGTTTAATTTACAATTCAACTGTCGCTATTATTCAAAGTGGAAATTTAAAACGGCATTATTATTTTTAAACTGCTATTTTTAAAACATAAAGATTTGAAAAAGATTTTTTTCACTGGACCACATTGACTTATTATTTTAATCATTAGGACTTCAAAAGAAATTACTTGCCGACCCCTGATATAGAGTATTCGCCTAGCGTGGGATACGATAATAATAATATAATATGATATAATATCCTACCTGATAATATACTGCTCGTATTATAATAAGCGAGTATCATATATAGATTTGGCATTTTCAACGGGCAACGAAGTGCCCGGGATCAGCCAGTATGCTTATATAAATAGAAGCTTAAATTGGAAAATTAGAAGATCATAAAATAATAGATACGTATGTACTCAAACTATTAAATAACTAGGTATCTATATTATGTTTGTATAAACCTTATAATTTTAAAATTTAATAAAGCTAAGTGTTGTCAGTGGGTGACTTCTTATTCAACATTTCACTTCAATGTTATTTCTTCAATGTATAAACCATATACATAGTTTATTTCTAATAAAAAATAAAATTTTTTAAAATGTACTCCAATTGTGTTTGATAATCTAACGGAAATTTGCCACTGGGGTCAGCACTCATTTTTTCATGATCTCAATTTTTTTTTTTATTATAGTTGTAACTTGTATTCCATTATTATATTACCTCTACGCCTACTGGTGGGTAATTAATGAAATGTACCTACTAATTATTGGTCAAATAAATAGAAATTCAAACATTCTTTTAGTAAAAAACAGGATTCTAACTAGTTTATTCAAAGTTTAGTATCAGAAAAATTAAAAACTGCCAAACCTAGGTCCAATATTCTTTTAAAAAATTAAATAATCTAGTTAGTTAAAACATATTCAGACTGATTAAAATGTTATTGGTTTAGTTCAGACATAGAGTGTTAAATATTATAGTCTATAATTTATAGGTACTCGGTACACCGAGAAAATATGCGGTGGCTCAATGAAAGTCGGTACCTACTTTACAGAATCCCTGCTCGACTATCCACCATAGTGGAACCGGTCTCGATGGCAGGGTGTCGCATGGGGATGTGTAGATTTGGTTTTTTCTCTCGCTGGACATAGTGTAGATTGTATAATTGATTGTAAATTGATTAATTTATTAAAAAGAGTTCTAAATTACAAGATTACGTAAAGATCGAGCCTGGCCATAAACTAGTTAAAAGCTAAAATAAAAATAATTTTAACCTTTTAAACTAACTTTTTTAAATTAAGTTTTCATAAGTTTTCATTGATTAAAACTTAAATAAATAACAAAGTACTTTGATCAAATCCAAGGTTATGTTCATTTATAAATAATCAAATTATAATTAGTACAATTCAATTATTACTGATGATGAATATCCCATAAACATTTATTTTTATTATTTTAAACCATATAACTAGCTATTTATTTAATAAAAAAAAAAATAATAGTCATAACTTAACATAAATTAATAAGTTAATTATAAGTTTCCATATAACTATTAACTTAATTGAGTTAAAAAAATTGAACAACTACCTATTAATTTTAAACTTTTTAAAATACTTTCTATCAACTTAACTTAACTCAATTAAAAATTATCATTAGGCTTAGATATTGTAGGGACTTACTGTATATTCACAATCAATTTAAAAATCCTCTTCATATTCTTCAAGATTAAAAAAAAATAATTTATTCAAATATGCTGCTTGCGTAAATTATTGGATTTTAATTTACGCTCGTATTATAAAAAAATTAAAGTTAAAACATAATGTAATTAGACCGAGAAAACATTTGATAAAACTCACCATGGATACGCTTACGATGATAAATTAAATTAAAAATATTAAACTATGTTATAACGAAGACGATGACTTCAACAACTGTGTTTGTTTACGACTTGATGATAGCGGACCCGAGTTTTAGCCACACGCAGGTACATACACGGTGTGTTATTATGGTCAAGACAGCAAATTTATCAAACGGCGGAAAACTGTTGTCGACAATCAATTCAAACGTGGTCGGAAAAGGCGAAAACAATGTAATCATATTCCACTGTAGTGAGTGATTCGTTATTCATCTTCTTAAGTAATAGTTATGCTTGTGGTTGATATAGTCAATAGTATAATATAATCCACGTAAAACATATTCGGAAACAGATGTGCAAAAATAAAAACAAATGTAGGTAATGCAATTATTTCATGGGATTTTTGAAAAAAATATCTAAATTTTAAGATCCTCCAAAATAGAAAATCGACTTCATAAAAAAGCCAACATATTTTTTCAAAGAATTCATACGTGTATTAAAAATTAAGATCGGACATTCCGAAGTAGTGTGTAGTTACCATCCGCTTATTGGTCTATAACGTATGAAAACTACTAGTGCTTCACTGCTTCGATCACTTTATAATATTACGGGGTGGATTGAAATTGGATTCAAAATTAAATAAGTTTGCAAGTGGATGTCGCTCTGCTATACATTAGGTGTCTAGAAGGTCGCTGTGATGGATGGTATTAAATTTGAATTCAATGAAATGATATCAATGTATACGAAAGAAGATTCTGAGCTGAGATGGTATGTCAGTTTAAGATATTGTATATTGTTATTATACGTATTATCATTACGGTAGCCGGTTAGTTGAATTAAAATTATTTTAAATTTGCTGTTAAAGAGAATCGAAGCACTTTTACTTCCCCAAACCGTGATGACAGACAAACAAATATAAAAAACACACATCATTGTAAAATCAATAAATTCATCGTTCACCTCAGAATTTAAAATTATCAGATTCAAATCAATGACTTTTAAGTATTTTTAAATTAACATTTCATTCAGTATTATTTAAATACAATTTTAAATACCATGCATAATATTACGTATGATAAGAAGGAGGTATAACTATGTATTTTTATTTTATAAATACTTGTAACTTTACATAGTGCCGCAAGCCTCATTTACGAAGGGACACTGGCTACTGGGTGCTAGTATTTTGTTGGGAGGGGGGGGGGCAAAATTTTGTGTTCTAAAATTTGTTCACTTTGAATTTTTTTAACTTTTAAAATTGAAATTACTCGTTTTTCAATAACATTATTATATAATATAATAATATACTACATAATGTATTATGCTGTCCGAAATTTAAAGAACTAATGTGCATGTTACGGGCAAAGTGGACAATTCGGACAACGTATACAATGCCCGGGCATTGTATACAATGTCCGAGGTATACTGGGCAATGTAAATTGTGAAGTATTTATACAAATAATCTGCATAATATATTTTGTTAGATGATCCTGATAAACTAATATGAACTTATAATCGCCATCTGATTGTGCTTGCATATCGATTAAGTCAATTTGACAGCGAGAATTCATTTAAGAAGATATGATTGGTTTTACAACCAACCTTTTTTTAGCTGTACTTCCCTTATTTTTACACGATTCGCAATTATTTAAGTATAACATTATTACATCTCTAGTTATATTTTTGTACTTTTTATTAATCTCGTGTTCCATTCTATTTCTATCTCCATTCTCCATGTCCAATTGACAAATGAACTTCATGTATAATATCATATAGCTGAACATTATGCACATAATATTTTATTTCATTACCTTTAAATACATTTAAAATTTAATTAATTAAAAAAAAATTGTAATATACTCTTATATAAATAACCATATAAACGAGTATAATTAAATTAGTATATAATATCATTGATTAGGTATAATAATAGTATGCAGGTTATTTGTATAAATACTTCACAATTTACATTGCCCAATATACCTCGGACATTGTACATTGTATACAATGCTCGGTCACTGTATACAATGCCCGGACATTGTATACATTGTCCGAATTTTCCACTTTGCCCGTAACATGTATATAGCTATCAGCGATCGAGAATTATTGATATACCGAA